CCCCTAAACAACCAGGGCATCTACAAACCCTGGACCTCTTTTTCCCTTGAGCCAAATAAGCGTCGCAAGCGAGTCTCTGAATGAAACCTCTGACTACTGACCTATTGGTTCTCTGTTGGGTCTCTGGGGTCGTGTTCTTTTAACTAGAACCCCCACCAATCACGAAGGCGCTCCCTCCTGGCGTTCCACTGCCGATGGCCTTCCGCTCCACTGCCTGCCTCGCCTGCCCCGAGGCGTGGGCCGCATCCCGGAGCCTCCTCGGCTGTTCTGCGTTAGCTACCGTGGCTTGGCATGGCTTGGGTTTGGAAGCCTTCAAGCGCATTGTACAAGACATTACAAGACTGCTGAGAGCTGCCAGGCTGCAGGTGGGCCCCGGCCACGAACCCCCGCTCACAGGGCACGGCACAGCTCAGAAGAGCCGGCAGCAAGAAAACAGCTAAGGGAAAGCTCCGCGTGCGCCAGGAGGCGGCCATTCCAAATCGTTCAAATACCGAGCATTCTACTTCAGCGGTGAGACTTTGTTCAACAAGAATGACTGATACTGAGATTGTGTGAAGCACGCGAGCTGTGAAGATGTTGTGCTGATAGCTCCGCCATGGCCTCGTGAAGCCGGCTTTGCTTATGCAGGGCCTGTCCAAAACATCGAGGACATTCAATTTCGAGCCTCAGTTCAGAATCGCCCAACTGCAGCAACAGCCTGTCAAGGAAAACCCTGCATCATCTCCTCGGCCCACGACCGTGGAGTTTTCAGCATCAATTGAAATTACCTTTATACCATTCTCCCGCGACGAACCCCAAAAGAGACACAGCTTAAAAGTCGCACCTGGAGTTCAGGGCCTGGGGCTTAAGTGAGTCCGTCTAGGTTTGGGTGACCCAACGAGCCGAAAACATCTCACTTTCTAAGACCGGAGGATGATCGGATCCTTGGGACGCCGGAACCCTGAACACAGCCCCAAGCAAGGCAGCAAACACTGAAACATCAGCGAAGCCTCAATGACATGCCCGAGATCTCAATCCTCCTATAGACCCAAAATCCTCGACTCCAACTCAAAACCGAAGTCCAAGCCCCGTACCTCTAGTTACCAGAATTCTTACCCCAACTACCAGCACCGGCAGATGTCCCAGTGGATCGCAGGACTGTGCGGAGATGCCTGCCTTCTTCACGTTCGCGGCTTCGTCCGCGTCGACGCGACTGACGATACCAGTGTCCATGAGCTTTTTCGCTGCATCCTTTCAGGGTTGAGCTGCGACTTTCCCCGCGATTGCGTGTTGGCTGCTGGAGACGACTCAAGATGAGACTATCCCGTCCAGCACAGAGTCCCCGTTGAAGCTTTCACTTTCGAACTGAAACCCATCCCGGACATCCCAAAAAAGTGCCCTGAAACCACACCGGCAGGAGTGAGGCCGGGCGCGCCTTGAAGCAGGCTACGACCTTAGCAATACAGAAACCAGGGCTCACTGTTTCAAGCAAATTCGGACTGCATCCGGAGAGAGTACTTCCCGGGAACGCCGTTCCTCGAGCTCCTAACTTCCATTTGCGAAAATCCAGTCGGTGGCTTCATGCGTGTGCTTCTTGCGTCGGGATACATGGCCTGCTGCGCTTGTGCATACATATTAAGATGAAGGTCGTGAGGAGGTGTGGGATACTTGCCAACACAGCCCAGAGCAAGGAGGTCAGAATGCCTGAGCCCTAAGCCCTGAACTAAACCCTCAGCCCACACAAGTTTCAGCACAGCCTGAGCCGGCACCTCAAAGCCTCCAGGTCAGTGTCAGTCCAAGCCCCGAGTGCAAGTGGCACCGGAACCAAGTGCCACGCTCGTGTCAGGGGGCTCTCTTCAACTTCTTGTCGAATGATGAAGCCCCGCTGTCTCCCTCCGAGGGCTGTGAAACAGAATTCATGGAAAACTACATGAGCCCTGCGGTCTGGAAGCGTAGACTTCTGGTCTGCAATGGAAGGGATGGAAGGGATGGCGAGGTCAAAATTTACGCCGGCGGCAGTTCACGCCTTCCGATGCTGGGAAAAGGGAATGCGAGGGACGGTGGCGATGCGATGTGGAGATCGGGCAATAGGATTTGCAGCAGACGGGGGCTGTATGAATCCTGCATAATCTTGCCATGAACCGAGTAAGCCTACGACCCTGAACCCCAGAACCGAATCCGCTTACTCGAATCCAAAGTCTCTTTTGATTCCTGCCTGCGTTCTTGTCCTTGTTGCGTTTGGAGCGCCCACCGGCGGCCCCTTCCTCATCAGAATGGCTGAGACTCTCTTGTAAGGCTCGCAATGCTGGTAGGAAGAGTCCTAGGATGATGGCTCCGAGTTCCAAGCTGCGCGCATGAGCGAGCAAGGGCAGGTGCAGGAACCTTCAAAACCGCTACTTCTTGAGCTTCTGCAGATCATGAACCAACCCTTAAATCACAAAACATCTTCCCCAAGAGTCTGCCGCCCTTTAATCCCGGAACCCTTCGCCAGGTCCTCACAGCTACACCTGGCTCGAAGCTTTCCGGACCGCTTCTAGCAGCGTGTGCCGTGCATTGTTCGAGACCCAAACCAGAACTCACAACCTCAGAGCCGAGGCGGGGAAGTTGTGGGAGGCCCTGAAAAGATGCTCGGGCTCCGGCATCCTCGCAGATGGCTTCCTGAAAGACCGCCTTCTTGGAGGACACCGCCAGGTACCTCTTTTGGGTGACTTATCCCCATGTCAAGGAAGGCAACAGCCCTGATTTCTGACGCCGGAGTTCAGCCTGCAAAAAACAAACACCTCATATCACTGAAACCAAGCACTCAAATTCTAGCATGTATGATACTCATAGACTCACAATATTTGCTAATGTTATATGGTCTGTTGTAATTAGAAGTTTGTAGCTCCAAGGGCCACACCTTTAGCCAAAAACGTAAGAATTGTAGAGCCGCAATCATAAATCCACTCACAGGCTGATCTGCGAGACAGCCTCCTCTTTCTCGAAAAGATCGCTGAGATTTTGAGCTTGAGGGAATGGGTGGTTGAGAACGCCTCGGACATAAGAACAGAGGTCTCGGCAGCTGCCAGAAAACGTTTTCCAGCATAGCGGCGGGAGGAGTTGGCACACGGCCTAAGCTAATCCATTATAAATTCGCGTGAATTTATGCAGTCCAAAGAACAACGCATGCAAGCAGGACCCCTTCTGCGAGGGATGTTGACATGGTCACTTCTTGTGACGGTTGGGAGACATATCATGAGATGACCTAAGTATGCATAACCAAGTTACTCAACACATTTGCATACAGGCTCGTGGCACAGATGAAGCTCAGGCGGTCCATGTCAGCACCCCATGAAGAAAATCTCTGCAAGTGCAACACCGTGCTTAGAGAGTGACCGTAAGCAGCTGTGAGCTGCAGACTGTCTGAAATCACATATCTTCCTCATGTCAGCCAAGCAAGTCAGCACCACGCAGGTACACTGTCTGGCACGTGTCGCTTCAGCAGAATCGAACGGCCCTTCATGTAAACAGTTTCTCTGTAGGCTCGGCATTGTTCGCGTGCCTCCGCCTGCTGGTGCATTCTTTCAGCAACATGAAATCCAGCTGAATTTCTCTGGATGCCCACAGCTCAGACCCCACAAACACAGCAAACTACACGAAGCTGTGTTGCATCGCTCTCAACAATCCTAGGAAGAGGGCCGCAGACTCGACCAGACACATTGTAAATGCATCTACATGGTCGAATCTCAATACACTCCCGAAGCACCAAAAACCAACAAAGCCAAAGCTCGGAAATATGACACCGGGCTGGTGTTGAAAGCACTATCCAACTGCGAAGTCTGAGGCCACTACGGATCTGCGGGAGATGGATGCACAGCTCTGTCTCTGGAAGATGCCAAACCCGAACTAACATAGACGTGCATCCTTCTGCAAGGACGAGAAGCCTTCGGAACCCACGGACCTAACCATCCATTCCAAACCTGAGCTTTCAGCATCAGCTGTGGATACAAAGAATTGAAGCCTTCATTCATCCCTAACATGAATTCGTTCGCCTGCAAACCCTACCCCCGCGCCTTTGGCTTGCGCGCTGCCCCTTGTGAAGATGCCTGGAATCTCCCTTTGTTTCATAATGCTCGATTCATCCTAGATTCCTAGACTCAAAGCTTCAGGGCTTCAGGTCTTGAGGTCTTTCGGGTTGGTCGCGGTCCAATCAGCCAAGCCGCTCGGGTCCGAGACTTTGGGACCTTTCCGGAACCTCAAGAAGGGACAAGAAGCTGACATTCAGCAGATGTCAAAGATGCAGCATTCGATCTTGTGCCCAAACATCAACGGGCCGTCTTTCGGGACCCCCCAAGAAGGTACGAGGTACCACTAATCACCAGTCAAACACATCCGAGAGCCCGGCTGTAGCGTGCAAGCACGGCACGGCCAACCAGCAAGCCACCTTGGCAGATCCGAAGCTTCAAAACGAGGAGTAATCCAATAAGGACTATTGGATGTTTGAGGCTCAGAACAGCTGACTCGAATCTGCTAGCGTGTGTTTCGGATTCTGGGTTCAGGATGTTAGTCAAGAGGGCTCTGCGTTGGACATGCGATGTGCATTAGAGACTGCGTTAAACTTGAGTCTGGGGTCATGGACTGTTGGTCTCTAGCCGACTCTAGCCGGAATACGCGCCCACTAAAACCTCCACTCCACAGCCCTTTGCTGGCGCCTCGGCGGAGGACTCATGGCTGAGAGAGTTTTGGGTTCCGCGTGTAAGGGCTGACCCCTATGATCTCTAAAGCCCCTTTGCAACCTGAAAACAAGAGAAACGAGCCCCGACTCGGCTCCCCAGCCAGGCTCTTGCCCCGCTTTTCGGAGTAGACGTCCCCGTGCGCTCTCGCCCAGCAAAGCCACTGCGCTTGTGAGGTCCCTGGGCAAAAGTCTTCGACATGGATGTAGAGCTATGGGTGTAGAGCTTACCTCGAAGTCCTCTCACACATAGTTGATTGGCATTTATTCAGTCGTTTGAGTCAATGACTTTACGAGCGGCCGCCAAACAACCTTCCAGGATCAAGGTCCAAAGCCCTCACAGCCCTGGTCCAAAGCACTGACAAGGGGACCTTCACCTGTGTCACTCGCTCCCTCTCTCTCTCTCTCTCTCCTGGGTATGGGGGACGGTCAAGTCCCCCGGGCATCATGCCCACCCAACATGTTGTTGGGGCGAGGGGAGTGAAGTACGAGTGTAAATCACCTGAAGGCTAAAGCCGTAAAGTCTACGATAACGCAAGAAGGTGATTGTACACTCTCCAGGACACATGCAAAATGCAGACGTGTTCTGAGTCTCCTCAACGTGGAAAGTGCAAACTACAGAAAGTGCAAGCCTAGAGATAGTTGAAAGGAGGCATCCCCACAGTCATTTCGACCTGCGAGGTCCTGTAGGAGGATTTCCCCCGATTGGCTCTCTCTCTCTCTCTCTCACACTCGTGCTCCGTTGCAAAGCCAGAGCGGCTCTGTGTCTGCGAGAGCTTCAGCGAGGCACTGCTGGAGCGCATCCAAAGGAAGCTCGACCTGGAAGAACTAAGGCAGAGGAACTAATGAAGGCGTAGGTCACAGCTGTGGCAGATGACAAGCCGTGCTGGTTTGCTTTTAGGTTCAAAGCGACATGCCTCGAGCTTCGGCTTGAAGCACTGAAGGTTTCAGCTAATTTGCAGGGTTTAGGGTTCCTCTGTGGAGTCTGCTGCACGATGCCAAAACAAGTTCGCGGCGCTGACCCAGGAAATAACCCGAGGAAACAGATCGAGCCATCGCTCCGACTTTGGATTGAAGCTAGAAGGCTCCTGATGTCAGGTCTTGGAAGGTGCTCAAGAAGCTCTGGGTGCCTCTGCTCCACTCTCTGCTGCCCGGGCCAACACGCGGAGGGCACCCCGGCGCCTGGCCAAGTGTACACACCATGCAGACTATAGGATGAAACAAAACGAGCCTCGATGAACTATCAACAACATCAACGCCTGGGAATATCAGAAAAAAGCCTTGATCAAATTCTTGCCGAAGTCGCTCCGAGCTCGCGAAAAACTTGCTGAGATCTTTTGAACCCAAACCATAGCTGAACGGAGCTGAGCTGAGACACACTGGAGCTGCTGGGTCGCCAAGGAGTCCCGCCACGCGGCCGACGGCACTGTGGAGGAGCCCAGGCGCCAGACGCCCGGCCTCGGCGGCATTCTAGACATGTTCGGACCTACCTCAACAATTTTCAGGCAAGGTGCCACTTTCAGCGCTGCCTCTCGCACTCGCCAATCCTTGCTGGGCATGGAACTCATGGGAATGAGATGAAGATTCAACCAAACTTCGTAAACCTTTGCAAGTTTACGCCTTTAGTCCGGTGGCGAGTCCTGATCATGAAATTCAGAAGTCCCACGAATGTGAGTTGGCTTGAGACTGGCGTGCATTCTTTGGCGCTCAGGTCCGATGCTGCGCAGGGTTTACCATAGAGATGCTGCAAGATAACATGAACTAAATCATGAAAAATCAATTGTGAAGAGCACCCTTAATCAAACTGCTGGCCTTTCTCTAAACAAATGCTTCGGGGTGCCCGGGGTGCCTTGCCAGACCAGCAAATGCAGCCCTGCCACACTGTCGGCGAGGGTGCTCATGATAGCAACAGCGTGATGCGTCAACACCTGCCGAGATGACAGCAATGAACCCGATCGTCCTTTTTCAGGAATCGACATGCTTGAAAACCGGGCAAGTAAACTCTCGAGCAGCAACCACGCACCGAATAGGGTTTGGGATGCTCCATGCACGACGGCTGCTAACCTACCTAGCAAGCTCTCTGCGGCAGCAGTTTCAAACTTCCACCTCCCGGCACAATGCTCTCACAACCATGGTAATGACCCTATCAACACCTTCTTCAGACAGAGTTCAGGATTGCTGCTTTGAAAACACTTTGCCGGATAGGTGTCGCTTTCGGATCGCATCCTCTGCTGAAGTACTGAGTTTATCCGTTTCCCAAAGTGAGCAACAACCAGTGACAAAGCCCTGAAATACCCAAAGGTTTCGAAATGCCGAACCCTGGAGTGCCCAAACCACTCGGACAAAGTCAACAATCTAATTCTCAATCTCCGAAGTCAAATTTTTCAGAAAGCTTCCGAACCGCTTACCCCGTCGACTAAACCCACGAGAAAACCTCCTTTGCCTCGGGGCCAAGACCAGACATCTCCTTCCGTGGCAGCGGGGATTTGCGGCTCAAGGGCTGAGGGCTGCAAGCCTCAGAGTTCGGGCTCTACATCACATGTTGGAAAATGCGACTGATGCCAACGAACCTCTTAATCTCCATGGCCCTAGGCTACAGTTTCACCCCAAAACCCAAAGCACTTCAGAACCCCCCCAAAACCCGCCTCGAGCACATAGAAGCGAAAGCTGGCACCCTCTTCGCGGAGACGCTGGGCTACCACCGGCGCGAGGTCTGCGAGGCGTTTCGGATCGAACCTTTGCTCCAGGACCCGCTCAGGGTCGGTGCCGAGAGCTCCCATTATGCCCCAACACAGCTAAACCCTCTGGCAGAATCCTCCATGCCCAAGCGAAAGCCGAACCTTGTAAGGTTCTGCATCTCGTCAAAGAGTCGAAGCGTGTAGCGCTTTCAAACCCTGCAAATGCTGAATGCGGCTTCGGCTCCGGCCCAGCACTCGCAATGCAGCACAGCAGAGTTGGCTGGGCCCTTGCTCGCAGCTGGGGCTTGAAGCTCAGGTTGAGTTGTCACGAATGTTTGCAAAGTGAAGGCTTAAGTCTTTTTGGTCTGAGGCTTCACTGCCAATGTCGGAGCGTTTTCCACAGAATTTCGTCCAAGCGCCTTGTAGTTGCGCAGCCACTGCTCGAGCTGCCATCCCCACCTTGCAGAGGTCACAATCTACTTGGTCCGGAGAGCTTGAAGATTTGGAATGCAGGCGTGTCCAGGGTATCCAGGGCTGCTGTTGCAGCATTGGAGCGGTCCCTTCTCCTCAGTTTGCGAAAACGGTCCTGACAGTCAAAAGAAAAAGCACACACCTGAAGTCGTATGTAGGTCCGAATGCAGAACGTGCTGAAACCGACGTCCTCCACCCGAAACCTGAAACCCAAACTCTCTGAAACCCAGACCCGAAACCCTAAAAAAACTCCAGCACAGCCAACAGTCTACATCTGATGCGCTTCATCGCATCACTACCTGCACATTCTACGGATAAACTTGATTAAATAACAGTTCATCATCACCGGATCAGCCGTGTAGCAAACTCACACCCCACCTGAAACCGCTCTACACCCTGGACCGCACACTAAAATCGATGCATCCCCTCTCTCATGGCCTCGGCCACGCGCGGCCCGAAGCGCTCAAGAGCACAAACCGCCGCCAGCCGAACCTTCCAGACTCTGGGACAGCTCCGGGCGCGCTTCGTGCTAAGTCTTGAAGACTGCAGGTGTTGTGAACCTTCGGCATGTCGAGCGCGAGCCATCCTCAACCCCTCCAAAAGAGGCCTAGCAAACCTGGACACACAGACCGACAGAGAGAAATCAACGACTGCAATTTTAAAAAGAATGTGAACATGATAAATTAAAACCAAAACAGTAAATGACGGCTTCCGTTCTGCCAAGCAGCGCGCCAACCTTCATCTTCCAGCGCGCCCACGAGATCATCGAGGAACGGCCAGAGATCTGGAGGCCTGTTGCCAAACGGCTTGAGGGTTTGGGGCTCAAAGGCTCGGGGGCCAGTGTAGAACTCCAGCTTCTGCAGGGACGACATGAACATCCTCCAAATTAGGCCTAGTCCCACAACCTGAGCCTGGAGCCCCAAGTCCGGAAATTTCTTAGAATTCCACGGACAAGCTGAGGGTTTACTTGCGGTGTGCTGCCTGCCCCGCACGCTGGGAGCGTCCAGCGAGCACTCATGACACAACCACACCCCCGAACACCAAACCCGAAACCCCAAAATCCCCGGAAGCCCAACCTCCCCTCCCCGGGTGCCTGAGCTGGAGGAGGGCGCCGAGGGCGAGACGCTTCGACTTCGAGCCTTGGCTTGCCAGGGTCTCGTCTAGGCCTTCTTGGAGGAAAGTAAGGCTTAACGGCTAAGCCGATAAAGACTCTTTGATGGGACCTAATTCGGGAGGATTTGATGGGAGCTCGGAGCTTTGCGGCGAGGCCAAGACCTCCAAAGCCTTAACTTTGAATCCTGCAATCACCTGAAGACTTGTTCTCAACTCCCGCAGGAACCTTGCCTTAAACCTCTGAGTCCTTAGTCCTCCTAGATCGAAACTGCATCTGGATTTGTCTGAGTGTCGTGTCCCCAGCAGCAAGGGGCGCAAAAGATGGGCACAGACTGCAAGGTCCTGGAAAGCTCCAGTCTGTGTGTGTATGGGCTTGGGGCTTCCCATTTGGAGGCGTGAGGTTTGTGGTCGTGTGGAATTTTTCATGTAAGTATGCTGCTGAGGTTTTGAGGCATATGGCCGTTGTGGCATCATGCGGGTTCGACGTGACGAATGTATGCTCGTCGTGACGTCGGGGATGTGGCTGAGTAGCACTTGCATTCTGCGTTCAGAGCTCAGGCTGAGAAGTCGTTTAACGGGTCTAGTGCCGGGGAAGAGCCCTTGCTTTCAGCCCTCTAAGTTGCAACATGCTTTAGGGAACTCTCTCAAGCTTCGGCTGGCGACCCCAAAGCCTCAGCCCTCAACTATTGCTCCACCTGCCTCCGGCGGCAGTGCCGTTAAGGCTTCTAGTGCTGCTCGTCGTGCCGCAGCATCGTTGTCACTCAGCAGCTGCCTCGGCAAGTCTGGGGAGGTGGGCCGTCTTCAGGCTCGGTGCCTGGAATCGAGTTTCGAGCCGAAGCTTCTCCCGACTTCAAGAACTGCGCGCTGGATGCAGGTTAGACTCCCCAAGGCCGGCGCATGGTCCAAGATCGCATCCTCGGATGCAGGAAGGAAGCCTATATGTAGCAGAAGTTCAACAAAACGGCAGCTGTGGAAACATATGTAAGCCGGATAGAATGCCGGGAGTCGGAAAGCAGCACGCAGTCTTGACACGTCCACATGGCTTACTTCAAAGCAAAAGCTGGCAAATCCAGAAGAAAGACCTCCTACAGGCATGGTAAAAGTGGGAGCCTGGAATACGGCCCAAAACACTGTTCCAAGTATTTGGCACTGACTCCTGACACAAACTTCTGGCCTCATCAGGTCAGGGTGCTTTTCCCAGTTGCCGAAGCGCCAATGCTGCTGCGCTACGCACTGCGCTAGTGCGGTCGCTGAGGCATCGGGCCAAACGCCTTGGGTTTTCATGGGACCCACATGCACGTTCAGTGCTGGACTAGGTTTGAGCTTGCAGGGGGTACACAACACATCAAGGTTCCTTTCAGCCCGGCTCTAGACTTGTGGTAAAGGAGTTGGCAGTTGCCCTGGTTATCCTTTGGTGCCTCCCCCGCGCACTGCCCCCCGTTTCGACACCTGCTGCAGACATGCTCCAGCTCTGAGCCACCCGGAACGGGTCGAGGGACAGGCTTCGCTTCTGCAGTCACTCGTGGGCATGCCAGGTCAGGACAGCCTGCAAACCATCCAGTGAATGCGGCCGGTCCGGATGCTCTGACTTGGATTAAAGGCTGGCCGGGGTCCATGCATCGACCCATCCTCCGAAGTTTGCTGGCACAGGGTGCTCGATGCTACTTGCAAGTAATCTACAAGTGTCTTTACATGCCTACGAAGAGCTCTCCATGCTGACGTCAATTTCTTTGCCAGTGCTGGCAACCGAAAGAGGCTCATGCGATTCGGCGGGATCAAAGTGGATTCACTCTCAGCGAGAGCGACAAAAGTTCTGTTCCTTTTCAAATGACTGTTTCGGGTGAAGAGGGGAACGAGCTTCGAGACCTTCATAAAGGCAAGGCCCTGTGTGGTCAGGAGTCAGGACAATACAAACACAATCTCGGGAACACCGCTGGACAGCCTCCTCGGCTGCAGGCCAAGGCGCGATGCGTGCGGGGCCAGGACGCTTGCGGGCAGCTGGCCGAGCCTTTGGAGTTCCGATGATACTGCGGCAGCTAGGGGTTATTCAAAAGACTGCTAGTCAAGATTACTCCTTCATCAGGCTCCTTTTTTAGTCTGCACCACAACAACGCCTCCACCCCGCCAATGCTTCGAGGGACGTGCTGATCGCAGTGGCACGGAAGTCTGCATCCTGGCCCCGGATTTCGACTCCAACTCTCAGAAAGTGTGAGTGACGAGCGCGGAAGACTGGTGCACTTGGGAGTAGTAGCACTCGTTTGTTGCTTCTTCTGGGACTGATGCTGAAGCTTGCGCTTGAGAAGAGCAGCACAAGCTCTCGGACGAGTTGGTGTGCAAAGGCCTTCTCCAATTTTGGAAGAATGATCGATAGAAGCTATGGAGACCGGAAGCCAAGCTGCAAAACTGAAAAGCGTTGCTCCAGCAGCGCAATCTTCGATACAGCAGCGCAATCTTCGATACTTGTCTTCATACATGAACCCCAATCTGACACCCAAATACCTGCACAAGCACACCCGTCTCATCGGCCAAAACCCGCTGCAAGGCCGGACTGCCTCGTGCTCGAGAAAGGCCTGGAGTCCCTCCAGCGCATGTGCCGCCGCTTCGCGGACCTCTGGGTCGTCGTCCCCGAGGCACTCGACGAGACAGTCTGCAGATTCAAGCACGGGACTTAGGATCCGGGAGGATGAAGCCAGTACTTTGTTGGGGATTGGCCTCGGCTCGGAATTTTGGGCTTGGGGCTCTGGAGGCTTCGTTGGAACATGAAACGAGTTCTCGCCAGGCTTTCAGTCAAGGCTTCAGCTGGCCCAGCGAGGGTTGTGCAGGCTTTAACGACGACCCTGAACGAGCAGTCGATGGAAAGAAATGTGAAGCCATGTCAACAGCCGATCTTCAGAAAGCCTTGCGGAGGTTAGGGCTCAAAGGAAGCATTCTGGTGTTCCTCGCGACCTGGTTGCTGGGTCACAGGAGGTTGGGTTTACGAGCTTCGATGTTCGTGGAATGGGGTTCTGACCGTCTCGGAGAAGCAACTGCCTCTACAACTCAGCAAGTCGTCTGCCCCAAGGCGTCCAAGGGCCAACACCTTGTCTGCATGTGGACTTGAGGTTGTGCTAAACAATTCTGCTTTACTTGTTTGCCGCATTTGGGATTCTCAAGTTTCCGGATCTGAATCATCCGACCACGTGCACACCGCTCAAGTCCGAAACTACTGCCCGAGAGCTCGAAACCCAGAACATGATTGCTGGTGCTGGATCTTCATCAAAGCCGAGATGCAGCACAGCGTCGTTCGCGCCAGGACCCGGCGCACAGGCAAGGCAGCAAAGCCTTCGCAAATGCAGCAGTTCACGCAGGCTAATACCTGGGAACATCTATACAGAACGAGCTTCTTCACAGGCGACTTGCTCAGGGGCTAGAGGTGCTGGAAACCAGCCGTACTGTTCGCGACGGTTCACGTGAGTCAGTATGTGGATGCGTCTCGACCAAAAAGGCCTCGAGCCCTGAGGCACTGAAAAGTGAATCCAAGGGAGAGCTCGATGCAATCACACCCTTGGAACCATCAGGAGACACACCGCCAAAGGATATGATGTGCTGCGCATCATGCATACAGTAGGTGCTGCTTTGATCGTGCCAGCATATCTGGCCACCTAAGCGGAACCGGAGCAAACGAGATTTTCAACCCCTCGTGACTTCCTTGTGCCTCTGCATGCTCGCGAAGAATGTCGGTGGGAAAAGCACCTGGCGACAAGTTGGCGCAATCAAGATCTGCAGGTTTTGGGCGTGCAAAAGCCCTCATTCCTGTCTAGCCTCCTCTCTTCCATAACTAGACGTAATTGACCGAGCTTTTGTCGTCAACCCTCGTGATCTAGGCTGTTCTAGGAGAGATCGGGTCTTCAAACACCACCTCAGACAACCTCCGTTGCGGAAATCTACAGCTGCAAAACAACCGAAATCGAATACTGTACGTTAACACCAAGGCTGAAACTCGAAGCCTGAATTCTTCCAGCACCCGAAATCAGATCCTGAACTTTTACCCCCTCGATCCAAGCCCCAAGCTGTCAACCCCTCACATGTTGACTCGCAGATTCGAGACCACAACTTTTAAATCCCATTCATGCAATGCTGAATTCGACACTGCAAATCCGAGACCTCAAGAGCTGCACCTAGGGCTTCGAGCGCGGCCCAGCGGACACCAGCGGCCTCTTGCGGCAAATTGGAGCATTGGAGAAGCGTGCGCAGGGCTTGTTCTTGACAAAGGCTCACCTGAGCTATCCTCAGTTTTTAGCTTCAGAACTTCAGCATGAAGCCCAGCGATGCCCAGCGCTCACCTTTGAACCTTGGGGTTCCACTTACCGGTTCAGGGCTTGGGGCTTCAGGGCTTCGGTTTTGGGCTGTTGCTGCGTCGGATTGGGGCTTCCGCTTCCGCTTTAGGAGGGCATATGTAAGCCTCGTCTCCTTGCCAGCCCACTTGTCGTAAGTATGCTTAGAGGCTGAGACCCAAACTTCGGGGACTACGGGTGTCCAGGCACAAAAGCATGCCACCTCGTCCGCGAGCGCTGATGCGAGCGCTGACGGGGTACCGGGCGGCGGGAGCGCTGCAAGGATGCGGACGGCCTCAGATCCAGAGTGAGCTTTGCATTTCAAAGCTTCGGCCTGTGAAGCTTCAGGGGCTTCGGGGGAGCTTCAGGGCAGTGTCGCTCGTTTAGATGGATCTTGCAAGCCTGCGTTGTTGGTGCCGTTTGCCGCCTGCGCAGGACTCATGTCCAAGACCCGTGCCCGCGGCCAAGAACTGGGTATCGGCCAAGTGTCTCGATGAAAGCCGGCAATAGTCTAGACAATCTCCAGCTGTGCAGCTTTGTGAACAAGAGACTTCGGAGCACTGTCACCCACGAACACAAATCCTGACCACTTTCATGTTCTCACAATGTTCCAGGAGATCTGTGTTTCCTTGTCGGCTGAAACGCCTTGACTTCACCACTCAACCTCCCGCCTGCCTGGAGCCGAGCAGTGCTGACAAGGTTGCATTAAGGCGCACTCGCCAATCCTTGTCCTTCAGATCGTCGAAGACGCGGGGTGGCGCCATGCGGATACAATTTAGTGGTCTACACTAGAGTCACTAGAGGATTTCGGAGGGCGACTGAGGGTATCTGTCCCGGATCCACGATAAAACTCAAAGCGAATCGGTGATGTTGACAATAACACGAAGTCGCTGAAGAGGCTCAGCCAGAAGCTGCGCTCAGTATCAACTGGAATCCTGAAATGCGGAAGGGCCCATTGCCTCGCCACACCTTCATGCTTTAGGGTAGGGCTTATATAGGTGCTAAGCCATGACCCGATTCCCAGAATGCAACTCCGAGTCACCTGGCAGAACGGCACGACTGAACCAGAACCCTTCAACGTAGACCTGATGCCAAAACCGTCAATGCCTCCACACCCTGCACTCCCTGCATCCCAATCCAGCGCACGTCAAGTGCTCCAACGGGAGTGGCGCATCCTGGCATGGGTGCAGCAGTCAGGTGTCATGTCGAAACCCTCAGCGCGCCTGACGAACACACTGCGCTTTGCACTAGCTGGCTTTCTGTGGTTCCACTGTGCCTGCTGCTTGGGAGTCTGCTTGGGACTGGAGACTTCAAAGTGACCTTGGACTTCTGAACTTCAAGCCTTAAGCCGTAAGCAGCAGCTCCTGCGAGCCTGTCATTGAAAATCCCGAGGCAATACACCCCTGAACTCCTCCTCAGCACAGCAGCACCCGCAGTCCACAGCTTCGGCGAGGGATCCCAAAAAATGTGAGACTTCACTCTTCGTAGTCTTGTGCGACCGGGCACCCGGGCTGAAACGACTACGGTGTAGACCTCGCGACGTCCAAAGAGAAGCTTGTTTCATGAACCCGGGGTCGGTAAGGCTCAGTCAATCAGCAAGGCCTGGCATGCTTCAGAATTTGGCGTAGGCATACACGTCTGAACTACAGTAGCACAAACATCTACCAACAAAACTTCGACACCTTCCTCAGGCGGGGAAAAGGTTCTGGCGCAGCCTACACTGATCCTGAGGCCGCTGAGTGGGCTCGACATTCAGGGGCTTGTGTAGCCTCCTTCGTTGATTTTAGCAATAGCGACCCTTTCGGTTGAGTCCTCAGGCTATCAACTCGCAAATACCCATGATGCCCTGTGCTCTTCCTCAGCAGGTGCTCATGATTCGGTAAGGTAGGAGCAAACAAAAGCGATGCTTCTATGCATAGGCAATGGTGCACGTGAGGAAAGCACCCCTCGACCAAGTTGAAGAGAACTTGCGTCTTCAGATCACTTTCCATTTTGTCAGGATGGGGGCCTGGTTACACTTTGCACGTCACGCCAAAACCACCCAGACTTTCAGCCAAATCGTGAAAAGCAGAAACCCCAGACGAACATGAATAATCGAACGTGATGGTGGAAGCTGGAGCTCCAGGTCATCTACCGCGAAAATCCCTTCTGAACGCATTTAGCCTCGCAGTGCTGAAAGTCTCCAAGATATCATGAGATCATGAGCCTGGAGCTTCTGGAGCTTAGGAGCTCAGGCTTTGGCCGTTGAGTCGCGGTTGATCCAGATCTGCTCTCCATCCTCCGGGTTTCAGAGTGTTTGTATTCGGTTCTGCTAGCAGGAATTTGAAGATCAAGAATTGCAGTGATCTACAGTATCCCCATCTCGATGCATATCAAGAAGATTACCCAGCCATGTCAGGCAACATTGCATACTCGTTGTGTGCAGCAGCGCAGCGCGATTGAAGCCCAGGACATCGAAGGGCATCACAGACCTGTTACAGCCTCAACCTTCCTTGCAGTAAGGAGAGGCTCATGGACTCTCATGGGATGATGCGAAGACAGTTACGACTTTCTTCGCTCGGTGAACAAGGACGAGCTTCGAAGATTGCCTGGAAACTCAAAGAAACGAGCGGTGGAGGGGATGCAGAGCACGGCATGACAGACGCTTTCCCGCAGACAAGCCGGCGTCGTGTGCAGAGGCCCTCCCTTCCGTTATGGCGAGTACTCGGTGTACTGCAGTAGATCATGCACGAATGTCATCTTGACTGCGATGGGATGTTTTTCGCTCCCGGCGCGGTGCTTTGCGTTACGAACCCACACCTCTACTCTGTCGAAATTGCACGGAAACCTAAACTCCAACTCCCAAACATCTAAATCATCTCAACACAAAACTCCCAAGCCTATCACATACAATCCTATGCTCGTTCGCCGAGCCTCACCGACGTACCAGCTCATGGGGCAACCTCCATCCGGCTGTCGTGGGATTTCGCAAGTTCCTATACCACCTACGTACACAACAGGCCTACATCCATATCTACAGCTTTATCGGTCTCTTTTCTATGACATGACATATCTGATATATAAATGGACTCAGATCTGTACACTGCTTTGCAAGGTTTTGTGGGCTCAGGATTCCGAGTTTGGGGCGTCTCAGGTATTGGTTTTCAATCACTGCAGCCCTTAAGCAGTCAGACGTTGACAGCTAGTCAGTTCAGGCTTGCACATAGGTCGCGCGTCACTTCACTATGTTGAAAAGTGCGCCGATCCGAGTCTCATCAAGCGCCACCGCCGCCGAAGCAAAGGCCTTTACCGGGTGACCCTGCACCCTCAACTCTCAATCCATATATCCGAAATGCAAAGCACCAACTCACCCCGAACCACAGAAATCCGGAGACTGATATCTAAGATTCTAAGATCTGTTTACTTACATCAGCAACCATCGGGGGCTGTGATTTGCGGTCTTCTGGCATGACCCTGATCTACAAAGACATAAACTTGAATCTCCTGCAGCCCAAGTCCTGATCCTAAACCTTACCCTCCGGATCTCCACAGCAACAGACTTCTAGGGCTTTTGGGTTTGGCTAAGGCCGTTGAGGCCGTTGTAGTATCCTGGTTGTAAATACGATAACAAGGAGCATGCTTCGGACTCCAAAGGCTTTGTGCTTCATGTTGAGGCGTCTAGTCCAGATGTCATCGGTAAACCTTGCTCGGTGCCTCTTGGGCAGTTGCACGGCGCGTGCAGAGGAAGCGGAGGTGCGGCAATGGATTGGACAACACGGGTGCTAGGTTTAGCTTAGTTGTTGCCATGGCTTGCGATGTCGTCTATGGTCTCGGCTGCATACGGCAAATGTCCTTTCAAGCTCACCGCAAGCGGCTGCTGGTGCCAGGTTGAAAAATGCTGGTTGCGGATTGATCTGTGCTTCGGGCGGCGGTTCTGCAGCGAATGCTGAAAAAAACGACGGTGCTGACGAAATTGCGTTTGCAGTACTAATTTGGTGACCGTCTCTCAACATCCAGCAACGGTTCATGCCGGGAAGTACAAGTTTCTGAAGTTCGCTGACCAGACTTCACACATCTCGAGCATTTCTGGCCTCAAGGTGCAAGTGCAGATTTCCGTTGTTTTGCTCTACTCAGGGGTGTCGGCCTACTGACTGCTTGCCGTGAACAGGCATAATTCACCAGAGGCTGAAGGTCCCACGCCACGCGGATTTGAACCGAGATCATTGGACATGGCATGCCATGCATTCAGCGTGCTCTCGTGCTATGACACATTGGTTCAAGCAAGATGGAGCTAAGCCAGCTAAACTGACGATGACTTGGCTCAACGGCTTACTCATCGAAGATGTGCACCTTCCATGCAAAAACCGTTGCCTGGAGGAGCTTGCCAGGAGACGTCGTGGAACCGATGAGATTCTCCTTGGTAAGGTACCGGGCACCTCCCCAACTCCAAATGGCGTAGCTGTCCCCTTCCGGGTCGCAGCTCTGGAGGTAGGTCATATGATTGCACTGTTCTCCAACACCGAATTTGGCAAGTAAACCGCCCACTACGAGCCCGGGCCGCGATGGAATCTGGGAGGCGGCCGCGAGGGGTCTACCGTCGACGCAAGTCAACACCACACCCTCGTTCTCGACGACCTTGCAAGCCCGTTCCAAAGCGACCGAATCGCCCCTGTCATCCAGGTAGGCTATGTCACAGTCCGGGCTGATGAGCCGCTTACACACGGCTAGATTCTGGTCTATGTTCTGGCCCTGGATGTCGTGGAACATCCGAAACGCTTCGGGATCTTCATGCATCATGTCGGTGTATTAAACACTGATCGCCGAAGGTACCGGACAACCCTGGGGATGTTCAAGGAAGCTGCTCATCAATGCATAGGTCCACATGGCCGTCAGCCCAGAAGCTTGTACCGGCACCCATTCCTCGGAGGTGTGGCAGCGTTTGTAACAGAGCACCCGCGCCTCGGATTTAAGGCTAATCTCATCACCTCTCGCCAGGGGCACAAGTCCTGGCTGCAAGTCATAGATGTTAGCACACGTCTTAATGGACTTCAACATGGTTCCGGTCCAGAAGAGTCGCATACCCATCTTGATTGCCTGGGCCGGGGCTGCCCAGCTCAGTGCCCCGAGGCTCGAAACCCACCCGCACGTTCCCTGTCGCTGTTGGTTTGGGCTGCCGGTCAGAACCGTTCGGAGAATTGAGCAAACACCGTATCCCACCACACCCGTGCCGTCCAACACCTCGGCCCAAGGTGGCGTGTCTCGTCGCACAGGCCTCGCCACGGAGCAGAAGGGTACATTCCGTATTCACTCACTGCAGAATACGCGAACGTAGGACTCAAACCCTTGATTACCAGCTCAATAGAAGCAAGCACGGCGGCCTCAATTGCCAGGCATGTGACGTCCGTTTTGTTCTTGGCACAGTACGCATCCACTCCCAGCCGCTTCCTCATTTCCGTGAGCCTTCCTGTGGAGTCGTACTCCGACGCCTCTTGCGTCCAGTCCACATTGGCACACGCGGCCCAAGTGTGTTCAAACCGGATTGCCTTCGCGATGCGACCCCCGGTCATGTTGATGTCCTGCATAGCTGCAGCTGCTTGGCTGGGCCAGCAGGGGTCTTTTGAAGGAGCTTGCCGGATATCGCAGAATCTCGGGAGGGTGAGGGCCAACCCTGAAAAACGAATACCAGCCGCTTACACAGCTACAGCAGACTCCATCTCCCTTCGACTAGTGCTGAGCGCGTCAAGATGACCCAGAGAATGGACTGACGCTTCGTCCTCTTGAAGCTTCTATGGCATTGCACACACACACAATGCAGAACTTGCATTTAAGTGCAGAACTGTCGGTGAAATTCAATCTCTGTGCCGCAACAGCAAACAGGCCATCACGTTTTCAGCATGCATTCGTGGCCCACGGAGGCTGTGGACTATCTATGAGACTATTTGGTCGAAGAGCTTCTCCATCCCAAACCGTGCCTTGCACACTCATGCAGCGTGGAGCCCGGCAAAACTTGCCATCGAGGCGCTGGCAGCAGATTTATGTGTGCACACGTGTATGCACGTACGCGTACGTACGTATGTATGTATGTATATGCATGTATGCGTGTGTACATACACATATATGTACAATGTACATATGCATTCATATGCATTCATTTGTTCATATTTGCGCACATGTTCGATTCATACTGTTTGCTTTGCCTATATCGTTTTTGGGTTTGCTATAAGATTGTTGTTTTGTCGAATTTGGCGTACCTCTTGCGGGATGTTTGAAAACGGCATTGCTTTCTTATTCATGTTAGCTTCTTTGTGACAGTGTGCATTGGTCTTGTCTTCGCGAAAAAGCAGAAACGCAGAGGACAGGTTATAGCCGTCAACCTAATTTTGCTACATACGTGAACATGAAGCCGGTTCCCGCTTCGCCACACTCACCCCGGCGTATGGACATAACCTTGGAAGCCGAAAAAGATTAATTAACTCCCGTCCCAGCAGCGTGTCCACGTCTGCCCGTGGGGAGGGAACCCTCACCGGGATCGTATGCACATGTCCACACATACATAGATGTACATATACACATCCACACACGCACACACACACACACACACACACACACACACACGCACGCACGCACGCACGCACGCACGCACGCACGCACGCACGCACGCACACATAGATGGCTAGCTAGCTAGCTAGATTAGATTAATTAAATTGGATTAAATGAGATTAGATTAGACTAGACTAGACTAGATTAGATGAGAATAAATTAGATTAGAATAGACTAGATTAGATTAGATTAGATTAGATTGGATTAGATAGATAGATAGATAGATAGATAGATAGGTAGAGAGATAAGTAGACAGATAGACAGATAGATAGATAGATAGATAGGTAGGTAGGTAGGTAGGTAGGTAGGTAGGTAGGTAGATAGACAGACAGACAGACAGATAAATAGAAAGATTTATACATGTATGTGTATATATATATATATGTATGTACATATGTAAAATCCGCCGAGGCCAGAGGCCCAGGCGTCTTGGGGGTTACCTCAAGTACCCTCCACCTAATCCTCCTCCCTGCAGCCCAAACGGTTGGACGCACCCGCTTTTTGCGTCCATTTTCCACCCCCCCCGCCCAGCTTCCCTTGATTTTAATTACCTGACTTGTCGGCCTTGCTGTGTTTGGGCGTTTTTGTTGGGCTGCCCTGCCTGCCTATAGCCCCCCCCCCCCCCCACCCCTGCAAATGCTGCGCCTGCCAGGAATACCCCAACGCGCTCGGGGGGTGGAGGGGGCCAGCAAATGCTAAGCCTGCAGGAATACCACAGCACGCTGGGAAAATGCGCCCTGCTAGGAATAAATATGCATATATAAAAAAATATACTTTTGCATGCACAGCCGCGATCCGCGGTAAGGTGGCAGCGTGGATAATGCTGTGCATGCGGCCTGCGGTGTACATTCCGTGTCTCACTTCCAGCTCGCAACCAGCGCACGCGCAACATTAACAGCAGCTTCTGTTATTTCGATGATCTGCAGTCTGCGGCTACGATTTTGGCGTTTCCTTGAAATACACGTCCAAGATCGCCTCGACCCTGTCAGCATGCATCGCTGCATCCGCACTTTCATTCTGGCGCCACATGTTCATGTCCTGCTGCAACTTCACCTGCCCAGCGGTTGAATTGTTCTGCTAAGGAGTCTTTTGTGGCAAAAATGCCAGCAAGGTGAGCACAGGATCAGAGGTGCACAGCTACTTGTCGACAAACCGGCTTCTCCAGCCTCCCCTCGCAGCTGCCGGAGAGAGACTTCGCATTGGCCGGTCGTGTCACAGATGTCTTCTGGCAGCTGGCCATCATAGGTGCCATATGCCAGATCCAGCATAATTGCCAGCAGAACGCGAAGACAGCCGCACATCGGATCCAATGTCACAGACAACGAGAGCGAAAAATGCGACGACCGGTCGGGGCGTCTCTGCGAAGCCTGGAGCACAGAAACAAACCTGCAAAGATGCATCTCGACAAACTTACCAGTACTCCGTCTATGTGAAATGCGCTTGAGCTTCAGCCCCTGTCATTCACCACCTTAGCCTGGCAGAAAACCATGCAGGCGGGTGCATCACATTTTCTTGGTTTGGCATGCGGGCACATAGGATCAAAAAGATAGAAGCCGCACAGAGCGAGGCGGAGATTGACGAGCACGTCTTGCAACAGCTCCTATGGACACTGACGACTGCTCTGCGACCAATTTCGCTAAGGTGAAGCTGCTGCTGACATGCTAGAATTACTTCCGTTGCTGACACTTCCAACTGCTGTTGCTGCTGCGATTGCAAAGCTCCGACAGGCCGACAACCCTTAATCCCTTCTTGGCACACCCATGACGATAGCAGTAGTTGTGGCACGGATAAACATATTAGTAGTTATCGCAGCCTGGAGAGGAGGAGCGATTGTGCAACAGTATGTTTTTGCTGAGTCTCTCTTTGAATATTGTACGACATGTCTCCCGACAGTGATCTGTCACAACTGGCATTCTCTGACCTCAAACCTTCTCAGCATGTCGATCCCCAGCCTCTTCTCGCACATGGAAGCCGTCTTTAAACTCGCCGGCTCGCGGGGTGCGCTCAGTAAGAAGTGTCTCGTGGGAACCTCGGGATTTAAGACAAGGTTGCTGAAGTGACTTTGGGATGATCCCCCAAGGCCCACGAGGATAGTAAAACTTCACATTGCCTGGGCATCCCAGCTCATGGTTCAGGCCATACAGAAATGTGAATGTCAGGATCGTCGCCCATGCTCGGGTCTACTCGCCACTACTAGCGATTCCATCACTCGCTCTCCACAAACGTGCTAAGCGGGCAGCCTCCCTCTTTCAGGTCAGCTCCTGCTCCCAAATGACGAAAACAAAGATGTCATTGCTGCTGGTCGTTTTGTGGAGTGGGGCGAGTGTAGTGGTGGCGGCGGTGGCGGTGGTGGCGGTAGTGGCGGTGGTGGCGGTGGTGGCGGTGGTGGCGGTGGTGGCGGTGGTGGCGGTGGTGGTGGTTGAAGTGGTTGAAGTGGTTGTGGAGGTTGTGATGATTTTGGTGCTTTTGGTTGTTTTCGTGGTTGCGGCGGTTGCCGTGATTGCTGTTTGTGGTGGTTGTGGTGTTGTGGTGAGCGTGCCGGGACTGTTCTCATATGGATAATGACCACGCGCATGAATGCTTTGTCTCACCGTGCTGTACATCTTCCTCCGCCCTCTTGACTAAAAACCCGCAAAACGACCGTACATACTGTGGAAGTTCTGGGCCCGCTTCCCTGAGGCATGCTCCAGGATGCTTGCTGCAAGCTCAGCGCCGAGCTTGAGTGTCCGAAGGCTTGGTAAGACATACCCTGCATCAAAGAAACACTGACCATCAAACCAAATAGCTGAAACTAGCCGCCCACAGCAAGTTGTATGGTCGAAAGGTAGAACATTCGTTAGGCATCCCCGCACAAGCCTTCGAATCTGTACACATTGCTTCTCGCGACCCAGCGCAGAAATCTCTCCCAGCTTGTATGTGTATTGTATTATTGTACGTATCTGTGTGTATACATGTGTATATATATACATACGTATGCAATGTATAAACTTGTGCGTGTGTGCGTGTGTGTATGTGTGTGCCTGTATGTATATACTTATAGATGTATATACACGTTGATAACGTGTGCTTTCGTATAGTATGTATTTATACGAGTCTGCCTCCCCGACTACCTGCCGATGCCTGCCTGCCTACCGACCTACCTACCCACCTACCTGCCGACCATGCCTACCTACCCACCCACTCACCCACCTACTCCTGTCCATCCCACCTACTGACCCCCCTCTACCTTCCTGCCTCCCTCCTGCCTACCTCCACCAACCAGCCAACCAACCAAACAAACCAAACCAACCAACCAACCCACCAACCAAACCAACCAACCAAACCAACCAACCAAGCAAATACCTACCTACCTACCTACCTACCTACCTACCTACCTACCTACCTACCTAGCTACCTAGCTAGCTACCTACCTACCTAGCTACCTAGCTACCTAGCTACCTACCTACCTACCTAGCTACCTACCTACCTACCTACCTACCTACCTACCTACCTACCTACCTACCTACCTACCTACCTACATGCCTACCTACCTACCTACCTATCTAACCATCTAGCTATCCACCCAGCTATCGATGTATTCATCCATCGATCAATCATGAATCTATCTTCTTATACAAAGGACCGTCCGGTTACATCATCCTCGATTGCTCAACACTTGTGTTCGACCTTGGGGGCGTGACAATAGGGGTTCGAAGATGAGATTGCAGTCTCACGGAACACATTGCTCCGACAGGGCCAGAGGGCTAATATGGTCCCTGAGCTTCGATGGCTGAGGATTGTGGGGCTCGCTTCCAGAGGTGCAAACGGTCTGTGAGCTCTGAAGGCTTGTACGATTTTAGGCTTCACTGTCCAGTGCTGGACCCCAGATGAGAATTCTGAACACCTGCCAAACATGCGCGCTAAAGCTGAGGAGGCTGCCGCACCGAACGACTGCACCGGCCGCGCCGAATGACTGCACCGGTGCGACCCGACTTGAACAAAAGATGTGCCTATCCACTCTTGAACAAAAGATGCGCCTATCCACTCTTCAAAGAGTTCAGGGTTTAGGGGCTTAGAGCTTTGGGCGAAGAAACTGCGGCCATCGAGACTCAAAAGCTACGGTCAAGATATCAGAACCTCCGGTTCACTTTGCCAACAGGCACCAAACTTCCTTGAAGTCTAAGTACAATTACAGTTCTTCTTCTTATAGTAACTACGAGTGTTATTCGCACTCTTTTCTAAGACTTACTATCACGACTATTCTTACCGTTAGTATGTTTGTTCTTATTCTTCTCACTACAAGGCCCCTTCATTTCAACTCGCCCCTTCCTGGGCCCCCGGACTCGTACAAAGCTCCTGGAGGTTCCAGATCCTCGTGGCAGTTAGGGTTTAGGGTTTAGGGTTTAGGGTTTAGGGATAAGGGTTTAAGGTTTAGGGATAAGGGCTTGGGAATTAGGGTTTAGGGGCTTCGGGAGTCATGACAATTACGCTTATGATTTCTGTCATTCATTGTGATTGCCATCATGCTTTTTATTGATGTTGCTTTGTTTTTTTGCTGGGGCGGCGGGGGGCGCGGGCTGGGACTTTTAACAGTTTCAGAGTTCAGCAATTGTAATGCGTACGGTCGGAAGTTATAGGGTGTCCCGAAACCCAGGGTACCATACGAGTCTTATGAAGGCTGTCGACGGCTTTGTGCCAGCTGTAGGGCTTGTACGATTGCGGGGCTGATCGGCTACAAAGGCTTATACCATCCATGACTTCTGGCCGGTGTTTGCTGTTTCGGGGTTGGGGTTTAAGCAGCAGAACAGGGCTCATAGACGTGAGGACGCCAATAACCCAATACTTTGGTTGAACCCCTGAATCGAAGGCCTGTCGAACAAATGCCTACACATACCGGAAATGGGGCACGCATATGAACATGCTCGTGTTTGTGCCCCGTACCACTACTACCACTAACACTAACTACCACTACCACTACCACTACCACTACTACTGCTACTACAACAACAACTACTACTACTACTACTACTACTACTACTTCTACTCCTACTCCTACTACTACTACTACTACTACTACTACTACTACTTCTACTTCTACTCCTACTCCTACTCCTACT